TAAAACACAAGGGAATCGATAACACTTAGGTTTGGGTTAGCTTGGCCTGCTCTCAGACAACTGCTGCACGTTGCTGCATACCAATTAGTTTTATACAGATGTACACTTGTGTAATTTCATTATAATTCTGTACACTGTTAGCCAATGCCATAGTTAAAGGGAATAAATCATCCACTTCAACCTGTGAACTTTTAGCAGTGTTCCAACTAAGAACAGTGGGCACACAAATACACTCACACCTTCACCTATAGTCTGAACATGAACAGTGGAATATATTACTTTTCCTTTGTGGGTCCTTTATGTGCTTGTTTAACATAATGTCTAATGATTTACTGGAAGTCAAGGAATATAAACATGGAGACTGATGTTTAAAAATCCTCAAGAAAACAATTACAGACCATTTAATCTTATTTAACATAGACTCCATGAACTATGTCACATCTGAAGCAGGAACATCTCAACAGTTTTTCTTTGTGGCTTCACCTCGTAGCTTTGTCCAGTCTGTGGTTAAGCTGTTAAAGCTTAATGTTTGGCAAAAATATTTACACTTTTATGGTTAACTTAGTCTTTTAATTTTAAATTTTAAGCTTACTTTGATTTTCTTCTGTGAATTTTTTTTAGGGTAATCCTCAGCGGACTGGACACCATCAGAAATAAACCTGCTTGACATCGGTGCATTAATGTGAGCACACTGCTGTGTATCACCAGGTAAGCGTTTCACTTGGCCTAATGGTTTTCACTTGATTTGAAATAAGAGTTATCACTAGGTTACACAGTAACTGGTTTTCACTTGATTTGAAATAAGAGTCATCACTAGGTTACACAAAAGTAAATTAGTCAAAAAACTAACAAAAATGTGAAGGCTTGATAACAGCCTCTGGGTCTGAAGACCGTTGTTATTGTTGCTGGTTAAAAGTTCTTTCTACAGCGATGAATTACAGAGCGACGTATTGACGTTCCATCTAAGTGCCAGCAGATGGAACATATTCCCTCTTTGCCTGACCACAAAGCGTATCTGCCGATGTATCACCAAGCACTGCACAATTAGTTAGCAGCAGGAAGATTAAGGATTGACTTAACATTGCAGTGCTCCAATCTGTTGCTGTGTCTCTTTAACGCTGAGAGGATCAGGGAAACAAGCAGAAATGCATCTGTTTCTCCACTTTCTCTCTCTCTCTCTCTCTCTCTCTCTCTCTCTCTCCCCCTCTCTCCCTCTCCCTTTTCCCTCCCTCTTCTTTCCTCTCTCTTCATGGATCTTTCTTGTCACCCCCACCCAGAGCGAGAAAGGAAAGCAGCATCAATCACTGTTAACTGACTGACCACTGTCTGTTGGTGGTACTAAATGGATCTCCACAATTGAATAGAGGCCTAAGTGTGTGGTAAATGCTCTCAATGGGTAAATGAATTTGCGGGTTAACTTGCTCTAAGAGCCTTTAGATAAGGCAAAATAATAAAAACACCTAAAGTAGATATTTTTCTTTTGATATATTGGAAAAAGAGTCGAGCTGAAAATCTCAAGCCTCGCATTCATCACCGCAGGTTTAGTGTGTAACAGAAGAGAGGCAGCAGAGGGTAACCCAAAGACAATTCAGCTTTATTTTCCTCATATAGATTTGACTGTACACAGCTCATACCATTACACAGAAGGCATGAATGAATAAATTCAGTGCTCTCTTTTACATCTTTTTCAAAGTCACACAGCAATAAATAATAAATAGCGCTCATGAAAGAAGACGATCAACACGTTTTTTCAAACTGTACAAAATTTACAATAATTAAGATGCAAACCTCTAAAAACAGCGCAGGCAGATGTCTACGCAGGAATTTAATGCAGTGCTGTTTTTTTTACTGCCTGTCATTTACACTGTTAATATTCTGGTCATATATGGTATCAATGAAATACTACACTGATATGTGGGTACTACTCTGGGTCACAAACTTATATTTAAATCAGTGGAATTGTACCTTATTTGGTCGTATGTTAGAATACACCAAATAACAGCTGTGTGAATAAAAACAACTCTTTTTTTCATGCATTGTCAGTGGAGGTTTTGTCTTCCACAATATGAGTGTAAGTCATATTAGTCAAGTTAGTTAGTTAAAGACAGTTGTTATTTCAAAATATGTCTAAGTAAAATGTGAAGATCTCTCAGGTTTTATTGTTATATTTTAGTCACATCTTCATTTCATATGTGTAATTTAATCAGGTTAACCAACCCTACGATTTGAAATCAAATATCAAACTTCTGTCCAAACTTTATTTGAAGCCTGTTGAAATTGATAGTCACGAAACACTTGATGCAGAGCGCCATTGTAATCTGTTTTCCAAATATATTTAAAAAAATCCAAATTAAAACTATACATAAACATTTGATATTTTGTCTAAGAAGAAAGCATTAACTGTAGTACCCTGTACTTATACATTAACCCCAGTGAAATTATACTGCAGAGTGTTTTCACTGATACCATGTACACAGTAAATATTTACACTGTAAATTGAATGCAGTAGTCGTCAGTTTACTTTAACGGCGTGTTTTCTTAACTGTGTTACCTCCTGTGTGTTGATTTACTTTCTGGCTCCCAAATATTATGCTGTGTTTAAAAGAAAAACTAACTTGGCAAAATCTCAGGAAAGCGGTTGGCATATAGTTTAATTTCTATAGAATAAACCGCAGCATGGCGTTTCCTCCGTCCTCCACTACTTCCAAGTGATGTGCCACATTTCAAAACTGTTCAACTTTACAGTCAGAGAGAATGCTCTGTGCTGCTGCAGCTCTGCAGGGAGATGCAGCTGACTGATCGGGGATGTGTTGGAAACGTGTCAGTTTAGCACAAACACACAGCATCACCAACAGTTTACCAAGTGGAAGGGAAGGGAAGGGGGGGCGGTTTTGTAATAAATCCTCTGACATGGAGATCAGACGGTGGGAGAACAGAACAGACCGATGACACATCTGGGCTCAGTAAGTAGGTTGATAGCAGGCGAAGCTGGAGCTCTGCCGCGCTGAGTAGATTAGCAAGAGAAGATCAGATCAACACAACAGAAGAAGCGACACAGAGATTTCTTTCGTCTGAAATTCCTGCTAATACTTGTTGGTGTTGCGACCGATATTTTTCAGTCATATTCGCCTAATAACTTTTATGTCTTAAACTCCTTCTCGTACATCTGGTTCATCCAAAATAATAATAAGTTAATAATTAATGTTTGTGATATATTACTAGGAATTTTCCAGTCCCTAAACCTCTGGACTGTCCTTCAACACCTAAGCTTTGATTTCTGGTAAGTCTGGAAACAGATGATTTAATACTGACAGACGTCCACTCTGAAAGAAGCTTCAACACAGACGAGAACAAGTCAAGCAGCTATAAATATAAGGAGAGAGGCCTGCTGTGTAGCCAACAGTGAACACCCTCAGTAAAAACAGGCTTCAGCTTTCGTGGACGGACAGACGAGGGCAGGGGGCAGATGAGCGGTAAGTTAAAAAACATCAGCGAGGTTCAAAATTCACACTTGTGCCACTGTTCTTGTTAATGTCCTCTCCCCATGAAACACTGTGTTGTAGCCTTGTGCATATGTCTCTCTCCCTTCTTCCCTCCATCCTCGGCACCACGTGTGTAAAAAAAGAAGAGGAGAATAAAGTGCATTGCCAATGTCGAGGCTCTGATGTGGCCCGGAAGCAGTCCGACAACATTTCTACTCATGAATCAGAAGCATGCAGGTGCCTCCTGGGTCTCACAGGGACTTCGTCTGTGGATCTATAGATTGAGCCCTAACATTGTAGCTGTTAGAGGAGGGAAGTTATTTTGGGAGATGATATCTCCTCCCCCTGTGAGTGTAATCCCACAACATATTGGAAATCCATTCTCATTTAAGGAGAGTGAAAGAACAAAATAAAGTCAGTTGTTAACAAATGTTGTATGATACACAGTTCAAAACTGCTCCTCTCTGGACCACTCGTCCAGACCAGGGCTGTTCCTTCACTGGAGAGACGTGGAATCGAACTCCATCTCTTCCCTCTGCTCTTCACCCAGCATCACCGCACACACCAGTCTTTGTGGGTGAAGGACAGACATGTGTCTAATGAGCCAGTTTCATCCTGGGATCAGCTAACACTGTTTGAGACTCAGAACTGGGAATGGTCCATCTCATCCAACCAGGAAGCAGGGCTGGTGGGGAAGTCGGGGTATCCTGTACTGCTGCCTGTGGACAAGTCTGAGGTTGGGCCTCCTGCCATAGCCCTGAGAGCCTGACCCACTCCGCCCGCTCCACCCTGCACCACCAGACTGTCCATGTTGAATCCCAGGTTGTTGAGGAGAGGAGTGTGGCCGGACAAGGACGTGATGGAGGAGGGCGACTGGGGAAGGCCGTACGGGCTTCCCGCTCGGATGTCGTGGTACGGCTGGCCCGTGGCGTCCACGGAGAAGCCGCCGTTGAGCACCGTGCTGTTGGTTACGTCACCAACACTCCCATAAAGACCGTTGGTGTGGCCAAGATCTGACAGGACCTGGTCGTCTGTGAAGGAAAGACTTTCACTTAGCATCCGCAGTGTGAAGACTTTGCAGAAACATTTTATAGCTGTTATATTTCAATGCGGTTAAGTGCTTTTATGAGTCAGATTTATTGTTTCAACAATGGATGTACAGTGAGTAAACCAGGCAAAAGGATGTGCCTAAGAGTCCTTTCTACAAACATGCTTTATGTCTGTAATTACTGCAGCACAAAAGATCTGTTTTCATCTTTGCACTCTCTCTTCAGTAGCAGCAGGGCTCCACAGCACTCTGGCTCTAATTGACCAAAAAGCATCACATGCTTTATTGAGTTTCTGTCACCATGTTTTCATTTCTCGTAAAGATGGCTTTCTCTTAAAAGTGGCTTCAGGACTTTTATGATTCCCCAAAATGAAGTCTACCAACATTTAATAACCTAAACGTCACTACATACTTCCTCCTCCATTTTTTTTAAACACTAACAGAGGCATCAGGAAGGTTGTGCCTCCACAGGGAGGCTTAAGGAGAATGTGAATTGAGGACGCCATATCGGATTTGCCCGAGAACGACACCATTCGTTTTAGCAACGAAAGCAAACAAATGAAATGCTGCAAAGACACATTCAATTGCCGCTGCACTCTTGTCATTTAGCAGCTTGTAGGTTTCCTTAATCCCATTAGAACAACAGCATGACTGATGATTCCCTCTCAGGGATCTCTCTCTCTCTCTCTCTCTAAAGCAATAATATCCATGCACTGACTGGAGGTATCTACAGCCTACATACCTCTGAAGCTCAGTTCACTGTCACTCAGTCCGGCGTCGTCAGCTGAGCTCTCCTTCTCCACTTTAGCTCCACCTCGGCTGCGTTTCACACTTTTGTAAAACTGAGTCCAGCGATGGCGACCTGCGTCTTTCTTCAGCCGCTTTTCCTTCGCCCGTCTGTTCTGGAACCAAACCTGGCGAAGATAATAGAAATGTTAACAATGAATAAAGAAAGGCAATTTAAAATATATGAATTTTTTTATGTAATTTGGGGATATTTTATATGGTTTAAGTTTTTCTTAAATTCATAACAGCTAAACAATGAATAAAGAAAGGCAATTTAAAATAACTTTTATTTTTTGTTAAATTAATAACAGCTAAATAGCTGGCTGTGTTGAAGCCAAATAAATACAGGTTGATGTATTTCACACAACTGTCTTTTGTAGATTCACCTGAATTTTTTTTCTGTTTTTATGCTGATCTGTTCATCATTACTATTTGAAGCCACACTCCTCAGGTTAGAGTTGATGTTCATGTACATTTTGTGTCACAGCTGATCTGCCATTGTCTTTATTTACATTTTTACCTGCACTACTCTCATGTCTAGTCCAGTCTCTGATGAAAGCTGCTCTCTGACGTGACGTGCTGGCTTGGGTGAGTTCTTGTAGGCACTTTTCAGGGTCTCCAACTGTTTGGCAGTGATGGTGGTCCTCGGTCGCTTGGTTCCTGCCTCTGAGTCATCTAAAGCCAGAAGATACAGAGTGTTTGGAAACTTCTTCAGCCCATAAACCCAGATAATAAACAACTTAGTTCTGCAGTCGCTGCACATCTGCTCAGTGTTAGTCCTTTGGTAAGTGCCACTTCAAATTCTACCATTTTGTTGAATGTTTTCTGTTTGTTTCCCACCTGTAAAAACATCTACAACAAAATCTTTTCATTATTTGTTTTCTACATTTCAGGTCCTTGGAAAAACCTACCATTTTGTTTTGCTGTCTCATAATCCACTTTGCACACCAGCCTCCCGTCCTCCATGAGGTAAAACTCGTCCCCTGTGGCCAACTGTCGGCTGCACATGATGCAGGCGAAGCAGTGAAGGTGATACACGAAGTCCTGCGCCTTCCGCACAACCTGCGTCGGTGGGATCCCCTGTTGGCACGATGCACATTTTGTTCCAAAACGCCTGCGGGGAAATAATGAAGTGAGTTGCCATTAGCAAAATTGATGCACAATACTAGGGCGGATTCACTCTTTCTTCTATTTATATCCAACTTAAGAGCTGATGGGATAGTGGGACCAAAAGAGATTAAAATGTTCATACTGAAGTATTTCTGTAACAGCAGCCAAGAATGACGGCAAAGTGTGTGTGTGTGTGTGTGTGTGTGTGTATTAATAGAATCTCCAGCTGTTGTGAAAGGAAACATCAGCCCTGGAATACATTTCTGTTAACGATAGACCTGTCCACAGGTTGATGGGTGGAGCGGATCAATGCACCGTGTGGTCTGTGTGTGTGTGTGTGCATGCATGTGTGTTTGTGTTTGCATGTTTATGTGTTTGCAAATGAAGCACTGAGAGCTAAAGAGGAGGAGGAGGAGAAAGAGGGGGGAGGAGTAGAGAGGAGGAGGAGGGCTGCTAACAGTAAACACACCCTGAGGAGGACCAATAAAGCACTGACTCAGGAGAGGCTTTAAATAACACGACCCAGCCACAAAAAAAAAAAAAAAAGACCAAGGTGAAGCATACAAATCACTACCAGGAAGTCCAGGCACCAGTGAATCTGTGTGTGTCTCCATGTCTATGTGTGTGTCCCAGCATGTCCCTCACCACAAAAAGTACATGCCAACGCCCCCCCACTCCCCCCCCACTGTCCCCTGGGTCAGACTAACACAGTTACGTCTCTGTGAGACTCCGGGGCTCGAGAGGTCTCGTTCAAGCTTTGAGTATTAAAACCTTTCAAACATGATTTAGTAAAAGCCTGGATCTGCTGATCCTGTTTTGGATAAAAGTCAAACTCAATTTTCTTCTGTAATGCCTCACAAATCCAATCCTTGAAAGGCAAAGAGAAAGTAAGAAAGAAAGAAAGAGAGGCAGAAAGTGAAACAAGAAAGGAATTTGGGAATTTTTGTTCAGGTCCATTCAGTGTATTTTATGAAATATATATTAAAATATAAACTGTTGTGGCAAATTATTAGTAAGTAACAACCCTATAAGTTCCCTGAAGGCTACAACATTTTGAATCACATTCACCCTGATTCACAGACTGGTAATTGCTCACCTGACATTTTAACCTGCAGGTTGTATTTTTATTTTTTTTTATTTTATATTTGGGAAAAAATGCTAAATAGGTAATAATACCTGAAAAAGAGGAAGACTTTTGTAATGGACCAATAGCAGACCTAGGTGTGATTAAAGTAGGAATTAGTTCAAAGTTTTATCACTCTTCATGTTGTAATTGAAGATGACTTCTATGTATTTTGATTGTTACACAATTCAGGTGTGAAATACATGTCAAATATTTTTGTCATGCAAAAAAACAAACAAAAAAAAACACCACAATTTCACAAACGAAGCTCAGTGTAAATGAAGTCACAGAGAAAACTCTCTTTTTTGTTTGTTTTTTTCTACATTACTGCGTCTTCTACAGGAAACTGTTTAAAAATATTTGATTTGAATTAAAACCAAATGGATATATATATATATAATTATGTATATGTATGTGAAGGATATAATTTTTGACTATTTCAATATATTGTAAAACCATTTTTTGTTACATTAATTTGGTGAAATCAATCAATTCAACATGTTTTTTTTTCGTAACTATAGACAGGAAACTTTTTTTTTTTCCGTAACTGTAGACAGGAAACTAGAACACGAGTTTAGTAGAATTACATCCAATAATAGTATAAAACACAGCACTTGAAACTCACTTGAAAAAATCCTCTTTGCAGTAAACGCCTCCTGCTCGGGAGAAACATTTGTCCGCCAGCGGAGTCTGACAGTCGGCGCACTTGAGGCACTTGGAGTGCCAGTGTCTGTCCAGCACCTTCAGGATGAACTTGTCCAGGATGTGCTGACTACAGCCGGCACACTGAGGGATCTCTGCAGGGGGACAGGTAACGTCATCAAGTAAGGTAACGTCCAAGGCCACGCACTACAGCACACGCACGCACACGTTTGGCTCCTCAGATTTTCACAGGATTTCACACGCTTCCAAAAATGATTGGCCATAAATCAAAAATGTAACAAGAAATTTAGCAATTCAATTAATATATATATATATATCAACACGTCTCACACATAATCAAGACTGTGCCATTAAACCATTGTGAACTAATAAAACTAAGAAATGCTCGATCCGACTGAAATCGTAAAAATTAATTAAACAAAAATTAACTCTCGACTGAAATCGTAAAAATTAATTAAACTAAACAAAAATTAACTCAGTTGTTTGTATTTGCTCCTTAAACGTGTATTCGATTTTTTTTAAAAAGTTTTGTTCACAATTAGTAGGTGTTTGTCTCTGTCCTTGGTGCTGATCTGTGGCACCCTCACATCCTTAGATTTCTGTGATATTCCACAGTGTGTGTGCTGACATCGTGGTGTTTCTGTGTGTTTGTGTGTGAAGCTTCTGATGCTGCTGCCGCAGTAGGTCACGTGTGAAACGCGATTTCTCATGAAACAATCCACAGACACGTATGCATCAGTATTTATATACTTAAAACCTTTTAAACCTTTTTAAAGTAATGTATAAATAATTCGAGAAAATCGAGAAAAACTGCCATTTTATTCATGGCTTTTGTGTAATGTTTGTAGTAAATAATACATTTGATTTGGTTTTTACAACAATATGACTTGGTGTCGTTGATGCTGTAAGAATCTCTTTCTCTTTAATCCTTGCGTTTTTTAACAAAAGTTTTTCGTTTGCAGCTTCTGCTCAGAAGTCGAATGTCCACGTGGTGTTTGATAATGAAAAATCGATATCCGACCTGGTCACACACGCGTGCGTGTGCGCGCGTACACACACACGCATGCTGTACACAGAGGCGCGCAGCTTCATATTTAATCTTACAGAGCACACACACACACACACACAGTCTGCAGTTCTGGCTTCATGTAACATGGAGGTACGAGCAGCAGAAGCCACTGTTACAGAACATCATTCAATCAAATAAATTAAATTAAAAAAAAATTCCAATAAGTATAAAACTGATCAATAATGAATATAGTAGTCATAACTGTAATAATAATAATTACAATAGTAATACATTTTAATTGTTCTTTACAAAGATCTGTGCAGAGAGGCATCGTTTTTGTGTAGACAAGTGGTGCTGAAAGGAAAGCAGCACCCTCTTGGCAACCACTTAGTGTGTGTGTGTGTGTGTGTGTGTGTGTGTGTGTGTAAGCGTGAGAGAGAGCAAGAAAAAGTTGACCTCACTATAGGTCTCCTTCGTATCTTAGGATCTGTAACACTCTCCACTCAGCTCTATCAGCCCATGTTCATACACAAACAACTTAAAGTCTTTTAAATTCACCAACTGATTCGTGTTCTGTCCAGGTGAATTAAATACTTTATATCCTGGATTCACAGCCTGTAGGTTGAGGTTTGGGAGTAACGGTGAATTAAATACTTTATATCCTGGATTAACAGCCTGCAGGTTGAGGTTTGGGAGTAACGATAATCTGAGTCAGCTCTGCTGATGTAAACAACCTTCAGAATTGTTCACTTTTATTTCCTGGATGAAAGATCTGAAGATGAGCCCATATTCAGCCAATATTCATTAAAACGCGCAAATGTTAACGTTCACGTTACAATGTGTATGTAGTTTACAGGACCGTATCAAAAAGGGGGAAATGTAATATTATATTATGTATAAATTTTAATTTGACCACCACGTGTTACCCTTTAAATATAAAGTGAATAATGCGTTTCGATTTAATAATTATTTTATTGCATTATTATTCTGTCTGTGTAAGATTTTCATACATATATATAATAACATCACGTGTATGTTTTTTCATATATATTGTTTCGCCAACACTTTATTCCGTGACCTAGTTTTTAAAAGACAACAAACCATCGTGACCCATCTTGCAAAAAATAAATCGAAATCATATCGTTGAGTATTTTCTTTAACATTCACGATATCGTTGAAACATGCACGATATATTTCTTTATAGTTATTTCATTCGCAGACAAACAAAAGCTGTATTTTGGTTTTAATATTTCCTTCATTTTTTTCTAGTTTCTAGAAGGTAAAATATCAGTGCGACTTTGTCCTGAAGAGAGAGAGACATTTTAAGTCACTTCGATATTTAAAAAAAAAAAATCACATGATAGTAATATATTAACATTCAGGTTAAAGCCTGAACTAAATGTGTGCAAATTTATTTAAAAAACAAAATAGGGACAATTAACATTCAGGTTAAAGCCTGAACTAAACGTGTGCAAATTTATTTAAAATACAAAATACAATTTATTTAAAATACAAAATAGAGACAAGATTTCATTCATCCTAATATATTTGACCAATCAGGCCCAAATTAATGTAACAATATCGAACCCCACAGACAGCTGCAAAATATGTGGGTTTTCGTTAGTTAGTGTATATAAAAAAACCATTAATCTCTGCTGCTGCAGTCTTGAAAGAAACAAACAGAAGATTGGACATTAATTTCGAGTGTCAGTCACAGTGAGACTAAAGGGCGATGACAACTGCGTCTGATCTCTTGACCATGTTGGCTCTTTTACAAATTAACAGCTGCCTGGGAAGCTCACTGTAATAATCCCAACAACCAGACCCAGGCAGCTGCAAAGTTTGGGCTGGATATAAATATATATATATATTAATTGAGTGATTGATCAATTAACCCTGATTATAAGAAAAATGTATATTTTAATCTTCCAAGCGAGAGATAATTACCAAAAATATAATATTCTAAAAAATCTCGTGTATAACAGAACTTGGATCGAACTGTTGTCCTTTTGTTTGTTTTTGTTTAAATTAAATGTGATCATTTTTTCGTTGATTGTGACCACACACGTGGCCTGGTACGTGAGGACCTGGACACGGAGGTCCAGTCTCCAGTCTGTCCTCATCTTGGCCGAGTTTCACTAAAAGTTTCCTCCTGCAGCAGCAGCAGCAGCAGCAACAGTGTCAGTTAAGGCAGAACAAACCAAAATAAAAAATATAATAATAATAATAATAATAATGGTGATGATACTGTGTCTAAAATGTCTTACGTTGCAGTGGAACTCCGAGAATCTCCGGTAAACTCTTCACAGGACTCTCTGTCGGTAGGACCGCCGCACTTTGCATCATCGTGAGCCAAACGCACGTACATACACCCGCAACACGGTGGGCGCACTCCCAGTCCCGTCTCCTCTGGAGGAAAAAAGTCTGGAGGTGATGATGATGATGGTGATGATGACGACGGTGGTGCTGGTGGAGGCTGCTGCTGCTGCTGCTGCTGCTGAGGCTTCCCCTCCGCTCGGCAGAACGAGCCCTCAAACCTCTACTCCTGTGGCGTCTCTTTTCCCGGTGTAAGGTCCGTGTCGTGTCGTGTCGTGTCGTTCCGTGCCGTGCTGTTTTGGAGTGGATCAGACAGACTGCTCGCTCCATTCAGGGCTGCAGGGGCGGCTGGGCCTGACGTCACCGCGGCCCAGGCTCACCACTGGGCCAATAGGAGAGCAGGAAGTGGAACCCTCCCCTCCCTCACCCCCCCTTCCCAAAAGCATCCTCCATGAGGAGGAGAAAGCGAAGGAGGAACATGGGATATGAAAATGTCTCCGGAGAGGCGGGACCTTGTTCCAGCGGAGACCTTAAATAGCTCACTGCAGTGTCTCTGGAGGGGCCCGGGGCCGACAGGGTCCCCCCCCACACACACACACAGGAGAGGAGACAGAGGTCCAACCACATAGATATAGTACGTAGCACACAGACGGGAGAGCATCCTCCAGATCAACTCGTGTTTGTGTCTTTCTAGGTGTTACAGAAACATTAGCATCTTAGCAGCGACTGAATAGTTGTCGGTGCGAACACTCGATGGTTTTTGGAGTAAAAATCTGTCTGTTGGTTTGGTTTGACGTAAAGAAACAGAGAAGATTAAATATGTGATATTTTTTGTTTAACTGGGAAAAAAAAAAGAAAAAAGAAAACCAGTCTGAACCAGTCTTTCATAGTTTTTAAAATACTATAATTCTTATTTGAAATCAATACTACATGCTGGTCTAGTAACAATAGTATCGTGATCACGATGACGGTATTAAAAAGTACTTTTCTTTTTTACTTACAATTTTCTATCTTTTGTTCCTTTTGTGGAACTAGAAATAAAATCATGTCACCTTTAACTCTTTAGATTCCTCTTTTGTTTATTAAAGGGGAAAATCATGTCACCTTTAACTCTTTAGATTCATCTTTTATTAAAAGGGAACAACTATCATCTGTTATAGTTTGTTTTATCTACTATAAAATAAAGATTTTTAATGTAACCGGGATATAAAAAAAAATCACTCACATTCATCATCCTTATTTTACAAAGTCCTAACAAACACTGCCTTCTACCATGAATTGTACTGTAGTAAATTTTTTTTTTATTTTGTTCATCATCTATATAACCTAACCTATATAACAACTAAATTCTACAGAATTTGTTTTTTCAACAAAAAAAAAAAATCAATATGAAAAAAAAAAAATTTTTTTCACAAAATCTTTTTGAGAATTGTTTGGATTCTAATCTCTTCTGTTTGGCCTTTTCTCTGAGCATGTTTGTTTGTTTTTATTTTATTGTATTTTTAAATTGAATAGCAGTTTTATTTTTAAATTTTATTTTATTTTTAAATTCAATAACAGTTTTGTTGAATAGTAGTTTAAACCTATTTACGTCTTATTTTTGTCTAAAAACAACATCAAACACAGCAGGTTTAATGTGACCTGGCCCTGAGTGGAACAAAGTTACTGCCAATTTATTGTTGTCCCCACAACATGACGAACACACACACACACACACGAAGATTTAATAGATCATTAACAGACCAGAAGATGGTGCTGAAATATTTCATTCCCACTAATGCATTTTTTATTGTGTATTTTTTGGTCAGACTGTAGAATAATCTGGTTCCTCCTGTCCAGTTCAGTGCAGATACAGAATATTTGTTGTTGTTTTTTATATAAAGTACCAATAATTCTTCCTCATTGTCACCTGTGTTTGAACATGTTGGTCAGAGCTGGACGTTTATTTGTGTGTAATGGACTAAGACACATTATTCTGCATTTGTCTTGTCAGGTTTTTTTTAATATGTTTTCACCGAGTCCTGTGAGATTGATCTCATTTTAATGGGATTTTTATTCTGCACAAATGATGTGTTTTTATTGGTCTGGTTCTAACGGCTGTCGTCCACAGGTACGGACACCTGTGATTGGACACACCTTCACCTGCCGTGTGGACGTGCAGCTCCTCGGTGGCTGGATTAGGATTAACTGTGTGTGCGCTCCTCACTCCTCACTCCTCCTGACACCGCTCATTTCCGAGCCCAGCGTCTGACACTGCTCTCCAGAATCAGATATTCCCCCAGGAGAGCTGCTGCCTCAGCCTAGATGAACTCCATCTTCGCTTTCAATTTACTTCAAGCGAGGAGGAGAGAAAAGCGCGCAGACTGTGGCGCTGCTTCCTCCGCAGCTCCGCCGACAGAGGCTCCCGGGGCTTTGTTGTCATTTAATCCAGGTACACGAACAACACACACCGACATCTGAAATGTGCATTATTATTATTATTATTATTATTATTATTATTATTATTATTATTATATTTCGACCAAGAAACCTATGGTACAATTAATTGTGTTGAAGAAAATATTCGCACCAAATTAACGTAAAAAAACCCTCCATATAATTAATTTTTTAATTTGATTATAAATTAGGTCAGTACGTTTGATGACATTTGTTATGGATTTGGCAGAAATGACGGAATTGCAGCGTCCGAAAATTTCCCCGTTTTGTTTATTAAGGTCTGATTTTGATTTGTTGTTGTTGTTGTTGTTCTTTGTCATCGACTCTGTTCTTCTGGCTTTTCTAACTTCCTTGTTCCATACCCTGTACTTCAGGCCTATATGACACACACAGCGTTTGTCTGACATCGACACACAATCCCGTATAAGCCGCACATGTGTAATTTACTGAAAAGGAAACATTAAGCAGATTAAAAAAAAAATCAGGCTTTATACTATTAGAGTTTTAGTCAAACGTGGTGAGACTGCAGCCTCAGGACCATCCATCCATCCATCCAACCATCCATCCATCCATCCAACCACGCCGATTAGCGAGCACGTGTGGCAGGGGAATCATCTGCTCCTGCTTTATTTTCATTATACACTTTTCCCCCGAAGATCATTCAATTTATTCAGCAATTCAATTACTGTGATTGTTGATATCGAGACCTAGTAGCTGCCCGGGATAAGAGTGCAGATAAAAATGCTCTTAACTTGTCAGCAAAGGGCAAGACAATTAGAATAATTGACGGATGCAAAAAAAATAATAAATAAATAAAAAATGCAGATAGAAAGAGAAATGATGTGAGGCCAGATCATGACAAATGGAGACAAAAGTACCATTTTTAGAAACAAATATCTTCCAACATGGCCGCACAGACAATGTATGGGATCAGGAAAAAAAAATTGTAACGAAAACAGAGAGAAGCGTCCGAGTAACATCGGCCTCTGTGGTTACTGAGACCCAACAAGAGAAGAAGAAGATGATGTTGATCAGATAATAATGCACAGACAGTAGGAGGTGAGATGAGGATGAGGGATCTTTGTCTATGATGCCACAGTTATGGTGGTGGTGGGGTGGGCTGGG